CCCCCACGGGCCAAATCATAGCTAGACGCCTCGCATGTTGCATAGCTAGGGCGTCATCCGTCATAACCCTCAATTAACGATTAAATCTCCACTGGTAAAGCATGTACAACAGATCAACCCCACGCGCCAACCATAGTTAAATCCTACTAGCCACTTGGCATTTAATAGGGACTCACCTGCCACACGTTTAATGAATTATTTCGCCACTTTGGCACTAGTTAAACATTTTACACTCTCCATAATGACACTCACGATTACATACGTATATATTTCAGTATGTCCCAAGTTCATGAAGAAGGAGATGAACTATCAATGCCTAGTACACCGACCAGGACTGCCACCCCCACAGGCAAAGGGGACATCGGCAGCCCGTCATCTATTAGATCATGGACCATCCCACGGATCACGGCCGAACTACGCAAACGTAGTATTCCTTATCCAGCTACGGCCCGCAAGGCAGAATTGTACAGGCTTATGCAAGCCAATCAGGACAATTCTGATGCCAGGGAAGGCACTAGTAATTCAAGCAATGCTAATCTGCATACCATGGTCGCCTCACTAGTGTCTTCCATGGGGCAGATTAATGAGAGACTGGAAAGACTGGAAGCTCGTAGCGGTCCAGTTGTGACACCAGAGCCACCTGCTACCGATATCCCAGGGCCATCACAAGCCCAACCTGGTAATCCTAATACCCCCACTGTCCTTGGGTCACAAGTGATCAACCCAGCCCATATGGTACCAGCAAACCTTAAAAAGACATCCTGGAGGGCAAGGATGTAAATCTAGTCTCTCTGCTTATTGCCTCCCAGGATATCACAGAAAACCGCGCATATACGTATGGCGATATTTCTGTGGTCCTCAAGGCCAGAGATCCTAGACTAAGCAAAAAACTAGCAATCCCAGACTTCGTTATCGCATTCGGCATATACAGGGATGTACTGTGCTCAGTTTACCCACAGAGAAGGGAAGAGTTAGACCTGTACATGCACAAGCTGGTAGACCTGGGCAACAAATACGGTGGGTCATCATTTTACGATTACCACCGTTCTTTTTCCACTAAAGCGGCAACAGCTCTCGCCCAATATAACACAAGAATGGATTGGAGCCTAATGGATACAGAGCTGTTCCTCAGGCACTTTGCCGGGCTAAGGTCTCCAGCTTGTGCAATATGTGGGGCTACCACGCATGCTGCAAATCTCTGTCCTGTCTCCACAGACGATGCCCCAAACAATGCCACACCAAGCACTTCCAGGGGGGAGAAACAGGGCAGAGACAAGCTGGGTCGCCCTATGGTGTATTTGGGCAAGTCACAGATCTGTAATAATTTTAATGTTGGGGCTTGCTCCTATAGTGCTTGCCGTCTACTGCATATCTGCTCCCATTGTTTCAGGGCACATGCAAAGGCTATGTGCCCTAATAAAATGCACATTAAACCCTACCTAACTACTGTGAATGTTGATGTTCTGGCAGGGCTTCTCTCCAAGCACCCTTCTACACATCTTGTGGAGTATCTGATTGCAGGGTTTTCCCAAGGGTTTCATACTGGCCTCATTTACATACCAGGGGGTACATGGGAAGCCTACAACCTCCAGTCCGCCTTTTGTGACACAGACGCAGTAGACTACCTACTACAATTGAACAAGACCAATGATTTGTCTTAGGTCCATTTATTGACCCGCCGTTCTCTAATTGGAGAACAAATCCCATTGGACTAGTCACTGGGAAAACCTCTAACAAACAAAGACTCATCATAGACCTGTCTGCTCCACATGCTTCAGTGATACCCAGTCTCAATTCCCTGATCCCGTCAGAGGCATTCTCTTTACAATACACCACCATAGACGACGCCATATCCACCATCATCTCAGCAGGCATAGGCGCATGGTTGAGCAAAACCGACATCGTTAACGCCTTTAAACTACTCCCCATACACCCGTCGCTGTGGCATTTGCATGGTATCAAATGGAGAGGCCAGTATTACTTCTTCACAAGGCTTACCTTCGGATCCAAGAGCAGTCCTAAAATATTTGACACTTTCGCAGAGACCTTGTGCTGGCTGCTCCTGAATACCAGCAGGTGCCATAGCGTCATTCATTACTTGGATGACTTCCTTTTCATAGAAAATAACGCTACCCCCCCAACAGTTTACACAAAGCCATGCATTTATTTAACACCATTGGGGTTCCAGTATCTCCCACCAAGACAGAAGGTCCAGATACGATCATTCAGTTTTTGGAGATACAACTGGACTCCATAACTATGGAAGCCAGCCTCCCTAGAGATAAGATTGACAACATCACTCAGACCATTCAGCAGTACTTGCGCATAGGCTCATGCAATAGAAAAGAGCTTCAGTCACTGATTGGCTCGCTAAATTTTGCCATTCGTATTATACCCCAAGGAAGAGCATTCATTTCCAGACTCCTGTGCCTTCTTCCAACACTAACGGACGAACACAAACGTACCACTCTTGATAGGCAAGCCACAGCAGACTTACACATGTGGAACGTGTTCCTGTCAAACTGGAATGGCAGGAGCATGTTCCTCCCCCAAGTCACAGAAGATTCCCCTACCATTTGGACTGACGCAGCAGCCTCCACAGGTTTTGCAGCCATTTTGGGGGACAACTGGCTATGGGGTAGGTGGCCGGAAGAAGTTAAGCAAATAGAAGGCTTTTTTAGGAATTCTGCACTCTTTGAAGGGTACCCCATAGTAGCAGCAGCAGTCACATGGGGACAGTCTTGGGCAGGTAGACCAGTTCGATGTTTTTCTGACAACTTGGCGATTTGCCACGTCATAAACAAAGGCCGGTCTACCTCTCTAACCATCATGAGTTTTATCAGACGTCTTACGTGGTTGGCGGCCTGTCATCAGTTTCATCTAGTATGTTACCATGTGCCGGGTATCTATAATACAGCCGCTGACCAGCTGTCCCGCTTTCAGTTTCAGGCGTTCAGGGAGTCTCTACCAACAGCGTCACCAGTAGCCACGATCGCTCCCCAACTCCAGGATCTAATCATGGACTAGAGGAATTATTACAACACAGCAAGATACTTACAAAACTCGCTCTCGCAAAAAACACACATAGTGCATACGATAGAGCTTACTATCTATACAAAAAATTCATGGCAGACCATAATCTCACAAATTGGTTTGACAATATAACATTGGTGGCTTTTGCCACGTTTTGCCACATTAAGTTAAAAATGTCGCATAATACCACAAAACTATACCTCACAGGTATCCAACATCATATGTTCACAGAACATCCTAACAACCAAGGGTTTCTCACCTCCTACCCCATTAAAACCCTCCTTAGGGGTATGCTCAAATCGCAAGGACCTACACCGCAACGTAGGGGGCCTATAGACATTCAACTGTTTAAACGTTTGTCAAACCTACTAGATACCACACCGTTCGAACCCCTTACTAACACCACTCTTAAAACTGCCATATACTTGGCTTTTTACGGTTTCTTACGACCCAGAGAATTTACCATTACTAGGCAACACGAGTCCAAGCATTGCCTCCGGTATTCTAACTTGTACAAAAAACAAGACCACTACGTATTAAGCTTACCTTCAACTAAGACCAGCCAGATGGGGCACGAGGTTCTTATTCAATACTACCCCACCAACAACGCATGGTGCCCGGTGAAAGTTTTTAACAACTATCTACAGTCATCACCTACACGAACCTCACTCCCTCTCCTTTCACTGCACGGCACAGCACTCACTACCGCCAAATTTGTGATGTATATTCGCTTACTATTGACCAGACTCTGCTTAAATGCCGCAAACTATTCTGGGCATTCATTCCGGATAGGGGCAGCCTCCACGGCCTCAGGCCTAGACATCCCGGTTCACATCATAAAAACCTTGGGCCGCTGGAAGTCATCCGTTTACGCTGTTTACATACCACAGCCAACACAAGAATTAAGGCATGCATTTGTGAAAATGTCATCGTAAATATGCTAACTCCATGTCTTGTGGTTTCGTTAATAAATATCTTTGATAACATTATATGGGTATTCCTTTTTGCCCTCTTATTTACAGGCCTACCACACACGTCGGTTTCGGCACACCTCTACCGACTTTTAATTATTATGATAAGTATACTCACTAGCTATTTCATACTATACTGAAATGGCCCCGAATACAAATTGGAAGGCAGGGCCTGAAGTTGTGGGAGGGGCTATATCCCTTTAAAAGGGACTCCCCCTCCTACCTCATTCACCTTCTGGTCCAGATGCTCGTTTGGCCCACCCTCCTCTCCCTCTATTCAAATACTATTTAAGGTGGGCCCTCTTATTTACAGGCCTACCACACACGTCGGTTTCGGCACACCTCTACCGACTTTTAATTATTATGATAAGTATACTCACTAGCTATTTCATACTATACTGAAATGGCCCCGAATACAAATATATATATATATATATATATATATATATAATTTTTTTTTTTTAATATAACTTAGGATAAGTAGGTATAGATAGGACTGACTTGGAACATTTGCATGTGCTGGCTGAACACTGAAAGTCTGCTGTATTTTAAAATACATTGTATATTGACACGTTTTATTCCCTGCACTTTGTGTTTCAGGGTCACAACATGTTGCTGGTTCTCGATCAAAGCTCACTGAAGCTGTATGACTATTCAGGACATACCCTGCTCCATTCACAGCCAATCGTCAGCATTCGAGTCTGGGGAGTGGGGAGAGACGATGGCAGGTGAGATTGCAAGACTTGTGGTGGGTGAGGTTCCCAGACACTGTCCACTGTGGTGGGTGAGGTTCCCAGACACTGTCCACTGTGGTGGGTGAGGTTCCAAGACTGTGTTCATTGTGGTGGATCAGGTTCCACACCCATTGTGCTGGGTGTGGTTCCAAGACACTGCCCATTGTGCTGGGTGCAGTTTCAAGACTGTGCCCATTGTGGAAGGGGAAAAATTGCAAGGCTGTGCCCATTGTGGAAGGGGAAAGATTGCAAGGCTGTGCCCATTGTGGAAGGGGAAAGACTGCAAGGCTGTGCCCATTGTGGAAGGGGAAAGATTGCAAGGCTGTGCCCCTTGTGGCAGGTGGCAGATTGCAAGGCTGTGCCCATTGTGGAGGATGAGGTTTCAAGACTGTGCCCGTTGTGCTGGGTGCGGTTCCAAGACACTCTCCATTGTGCTGGGTGCGAGATTGCAAGGCTGTGCCCGTTGTGGCAGGTGGGAGATTGCAAGGATGTGCCCGTTGTGGCAGGTGGGAGATTGCAAGGCTGTGCCCGTTGTGGCAGGTGGGAGATTGCAAGGCTGTGCCCGTTGTGGCAGGTGGGAGATTGCAAGGCTGTGCCCGTTGTGGCAGGTGGGAGATTGCAAGGCTGTGCCCGTTGTGGCAGGTGGGAGATTTCAAGGCTGTGCCCGTTGTGGCAGGTGGGAGATTGCAAGGCTGTGCCTGTTGTTGTGGGCGAGGATCCATATTTTGCCCATTTTGAATATCGTAGAAGATGCGAGGTAATGGCTGTGCCCGTTGTGGTTGGGAGATGGTGGCAGGACAGAAAGTTTGTGCTAGAGTGGTGGAGATAGGTTCTGCTGTTGTGGTACTGTGTTGGGTGCAGATATGAGCTGTTCCCGTGTCCATGAAGTGATGATGGCAGGTGAGAGGTTTTGGTTGTGCCCCTTTGTGGAACGATAATGGCAGATGAGGGATATTGGCTGTGCCCATTGTCTTGGAATGATGATGGCAGCAGAGAGATATTGGCTGTACCCGTTGCTGTAGAGCTATGATGGTAGCTGAGAGATATTGACTGTGCCCATTTTTGTGGAGCCATGATGGCAGCTGAGAAATATTGTCTGTTCCTGTTGTCGTGTTGTTAGTTAGTGTTGGTTAGTGTTCGTTTGTGTTCCTTTTGTCACAGTTTACCACCAGGTCCAGGGGGTGTGCCTTTGGCCTGAAAACTTGCATAAAAGAAAGCCCTTTGGTGCTGATTAAACAGATCATCTTGTATCATCTTGTTCCTGTTGTCATGGAGCCATGATGGCGGCTGTGCCTGTTGTTGTGTCGTGGGTGAGAGGTAAAGTCTGTGAGAAGATGAATGTTTAATTGCCGACTTGCGTAGATTTAAAACTGTTTCTGGTTGGTGGCTAGCATGCTTGCGTTCAGTGTCTCCACGCTCCCCATAAACATGAATTGATTTAATGCATCTCTATGAGGAGATGTTGATTGGAGCAGTGTTTTGCCGTGCACGCATTTCATTGACTGAGATCATCAAGATTGATGATGTCGACCTGGCTCTGCGAGATAGACGTGGGGAAAAAGGTACGTAAGGAGGAAGGGGACCTAAACAGCCATCCCTGGACTATGTCAGAATCCATGTTTGTATTCCTGATACTATCGTGTTCCTTGTGAATTCCCTGTGCATTGTTTGTCTGCCCTTTGTATTTCAGATTGTATAACATTCAGGTTAGCAGTTCATTTTGGCATTACGTTACAATATTTAGCTTTTTTTTCATATCGCTGAATAATAAATCCACAATCTACAATCCCTACTACTTTTCGAGTCATACGGCACGCGGTGTCCTGTGTGTGTCTCTTTATAATGTCTCTTCCCTCTACATTTCATGCTGCTGGATACAGAGAGAGGTAGGTGGAACATAATGAGTTTCATTTGAGTCTGTAATAAACATACATTGAGTGACCCTGAATGTAATTATTTAGTAGAAATGATTGTACTGTAATTTATAATCCGCCACAACACTTAGACCCTCCTCATGTCGTCCTCTGTGTGGTGGTGTCTCAGAGAAGTGTCCCTCGATCTTCTTACACATGTGCAATGAGACTTGTCATTTTCTGACATAAAACATAGCAGCCACAGAGACCACTAAAACTAGACCCCTGGGCCTGCCTCTTCTCCAGACCAACAGATGTCCTTCCACGCCCGGAGAAACAATTGTTAAATATGGTTTACTTAGCGGCCCGTAGAGCACTAGCACAGAAATGGCCATGTCCGGAAATGCCCCCTGTGGCACTGGTCGTAGCGAAGATAAAAGATAACTACCTTATGGACAGGTTAATTTCCCTGGTCAGGCACACCACCAAAAAATTTGGCAGAATATGGGAACTGTGGGAACAATACCAGGAGAACACTGAGGGCGGACAAAGGAACCGAACACACACTTAGGGCTAATGACAAAAGGGCACACGACAACCCTCGTCCGGGCTGTGGAAACAGACGCACCAATTCACCGTATCACTGACTACAATGTTTTGGTTAATGTAGGATTTTTGAATAACTGTTATGATATTTTTAGTTAACAACTGTATAAAACCAAGCTAATTGAAGTGGCATATGTACTCAAAACAAGACCTCACTGACAAACCACGTAGAGTTGTCTCAGCAAAACACAAGAAGACAAATTAACTGCCGACGAGACTAGCAGCGCTAGTAAGCATACATCTTGTCTTAAGGTATCACTCCTCCCTACTGTATAACTGAACCATCTGAAAACGCACTGCGGCTTCTGCGTAAGCCTATGCACTGTCATTAGTATGCACTTCTTTCGCGGCTTCTGCGTAAGCCTATAACATTGTCACAAATATGCACTTCTATTTTCTTGAAAAATAAAGAATTAAAAAAACAAAAAAAAACAAAAAAACATAGCAGCCACTATATTAAGTATAATTCTATCTCTAGAATGGATTATTTCCCTGCTCACATACCATGGGGTGTATATGCTGGACCGGTCAAACTGAATCTCTGCGTGCTAACACTGCTCCGTATTGTCAAATGACATCTGCACCTCTGTTACTGTCACTTGACATCATTGAATATTTTTTCAAGTTAATAAATTTGAAGCAAATTTGTAATATTTTACTACGGTAAACCTGCCTCCTTGGTGTTCTGTTGTGTTGATTTCTGCTTTCATTATCCTTTCAGGGACTTTGCTTATGTTGCAAGAGATAAAGTGACCCAGTTACTAAAGTGTCATGTTTTCCGCTGCGAGTCGCCAGCCAAAGCCATAGCGACGGGACTGCATGGTGTCTGCTCTCGAGTAAGTACCTACCTGAGTACTATATGCTATATCAGAATACCCGAGCACTGTAACTGTACTATGACATACTAATCCCCTATCTGAGTACCATCTGCTATTACCTTCTAATATAACCTATCGATGCCATATCAGAATAACCGAGCACTGTACTATGACATACTAATCCCCTATCTGAGTACCATCTCCTGTTACCTTCTAATATAACCTAGTGATGCCATATCAGAATAGCCGAGCACTGTAACTGTACTATGACATACTAATCCCCTATCTGAGTACCTTCTCCTATTATCTTCTAATTTAACCTATCGATGCCATATCAGAATAACCGAGCACTGTAACTGTACTATGACATACTAATCCCCTATCTGAGTACCATCTCCTGTTACCTTCTAATATAACCTAGTGATGCCATATCAGAATAGCCGAGCACTGTAACTGTACTATGACATACTAATCCCCTATCTGAGTACCATCTCCTATTATCTTTTAATATAACCCATCGATGCCATATCAGAATACCCGAGCACTGTAACTCTACTATGACATACTAATCCCCTATCTGAGTACCATCTGCTATTACCTTCTAATATAACCTATCGATGCCATATCAGAATAACCGAGCACTGTAACTGTACTATGACATACTAATCCCCTATCTGAGTACCATCTCCTGTTACCTTCTAATATAACCTAGTGATGCCATATCAGAATAGCCGAGCACTGTAACTGTACTGACATACTAATCCCCTATCTGAGTACCTTCTCCTATTATCTTCTAATTTAACCTATCGATGCCATATCAGAATAGCCGAGCACTGTAACTGTACTATGACATACTAATCCCCTATCTGAGTACCATCTCCTATTATCTTTTAATATAACCCATCGATGCCATATCAGAATAGCCGAGCACTGTAACTGTACTATGACATACTAATCCCCTATCTGAGTACCATCTCCTGTTACCTTCTAATATAACCTAGTGATGCCATATCAGAATAGCCGAGCACTGTAACTGTACTGACATACTAATCCCCTATCTGAGTACCTTCTCCTATTATCTTCTAATATAACCTATCGATGCCATATCAGAATAACCGAGCACTGTAACTGTACTATGACATACTAATCCCCTATCTGAGTACCATCTGCTATTACCTTCTAATATAACCTATCGATGCCATATCAGAATAGCCGAGCACTGTAACTGTACTATGACATACTATCTGAGTACCATCTCCTATTACCTTCTAATATAACCTAGTGATGCCATATCAGAATAGCCGAGCACTGTAACTGTACTATGACATACTAATCCCCTATCTGAGTACCATCTCCTATTACCTTCTAATATAACCTATCGATGCCATATCAGAATAGCCGAGCACTGTAACTGTACTGACATACCTTATCCCTATCTGTATTCTTAGTAAACCTCTACTACCTCCAATCTGTAACTTTGCTCCTACTCTAACCTAAGGTCCTATTGGCCATTATTATTTAGGTCCCTTCATGAAAATAAGTTTAATTTACCTGAAATAATTTAAAACGTCAACACTCGTGGTGCTGCTACGCGCTCCCCTCCTGACTGCATGTCTACCTTTGCGCAGTGCAGCCAAACACTTCTTATAGACAAGCCTTTTAGATCAGATCCTGTACAAATATCTCATCAATTACTCAAGCTGTATTAGTGATTTGATGATTGGGGAGCAGGCTAGTGATTATCAAGTTTTTTAATTTGTTAGAAAAATCACTTGAACATGAGATACAGGAGTTCTGCAATAATGATTTCAGTTTGACACGGTTTGGTGTTTTGTAAGAGACAAGTCTTGGACCTCTAATGAGAGGTATGGTTTATTATAAACAATTACACACACACACACACAATACATTTACATACATTCATTGCATGTACAGAACGTATAGGAATGAGTAGTGACCTTGACCTACATCACACATTGACCTACATAGGTGTTATTCGGGTACCCCATGTTTGATGTCGACCAAACCATATTAACATTGGGACTTGTTTGTGTTGGCTGCATGTTGACGCTCTGTTTAGACAATTAGAACAATCAAACTCGCACCCTATAGGGGGTAAGGCTCATTAAATCAGACCGACATTTCAGGTCTAACTGTGTACGGTGAGTGTGTGTCTTTCTGTTAACACTGGACGGTCTTGTTACAGATCATGGCAGAGAGGAGAAGCACTCGCTCGATCATGGATGGTCTCTTCTATGATCAATCACGATTGGTGGATATTCCTTTTCAAGGTAGTCTCTAGATCTGATGGCCGTCCCACACCTAGCTATGGTTTAGCTGTGACCCTATGACTGTGTAACATTCTGCTGGTTTTCATATGATGATAAAATAACTTGAGCTTGACATTCTGATGGCTGGTCGCATCCTGGTGATACAGTGTGATTTATCTCTCTCGCTCCTTGTCTTCCCTTCAGTCGAGTTTCCTGCTCCAAAGAACGAACTTGTTCAGGGCTTCCAGGTCTTCTACATGGGGAATGTTCAGGTCATTAAACCTGTTGGTAAGTTTCAGAAGACTCTTTACCATTCCAGCAAAGAAACATGTCACTGCTGTGAAGTGAATGATAATGAATTTAATACTACAACACACAGAAAAGGGAATATTTTATTCTATATGTATGGCAGTTTTGTTCAAAATATGGCAAATTGCTAAAGCTATGTAGGGCGGTGCGCGGGAACGCGCTCTGTGCAGTTCGGTGCGCAGGCACGCGCTCTGTGCACTGTCACGGCTCGCCGCAATGCGCGTCTGTGCCAGACCGGCTTGACCGCGCCTCATTGCTTAGCTTACCTGCTTGGTGGCGAGTCGGGAACCGCTCCTCCGTGCTGTCCCGGCGAATCCAAGATGGCACTGAACATGCGGTCGCGTCCATCGATGGCTCCACCCCCATAATTATACGAACGTGCGCGTGACGTCACGACGTCAACGCACGCGCACGTTCTGGGGTTAGAGGTCACCCTCTGACCAATCAGAGCCTATATATTTAAATCCCTGATTCACCCCGGTTCCTTGCCCTGTCATGGTTTCCTGTTCCTGGTTTCCGAAAGTGCGTTTATGCTTGTGAGTCTGATATTCTGGTATTCTGACCTTGGTTTTTCCTGGTTATTCCGATTTCTGGTTTCCCTGACTTGGCTTGTTTAAACGGTATTTGTGTATTTTCTGGCTTCCTTGACCTCTGCTTTCCCTTTGACCATTCTCTGTCTCTAACGTTTTAGTCCGGCCATTCTAAGGACCGGTTTATGTTCTATCCTTTTATTTCCTTTTCATTTTCTATGTATATGTTTACATAGTTTCTGCGTGTTGGACCACACTAGCAGTCGTGACATGCACACTGTATAAATATGTAAATTGCTATCCCTGTGCTTTAGGTATGGACATTATTAATAACACCCTACAAACTGCCCTCAGCACTAATAGAGCCGACTGGATTCCTGTCACTGTCAACGTGGCTTCAGCAACGGTCACCATCTTAAACCAACAGGTATCAATCTATCCGGCCTGCTACGTATTGGGAGTGGATTCCCTGGGTATACTAGGGAGGTTTGTAATGGTATTGATGGTGGATTCCCTGGGTATACTAAGGAGGTGTGTGATGGTATTGGTGGTGGATTCCCTGATTATACTATGATATTGACTCTGTCCCATCACACACTGGGGGCCCTGGGATAGTATGTGATATTGACTCTCCCATCATACACTGGGGACCCTGGGATAGTATTTGTCATTGACTCTGTCCCATCATACACTGGCGGGCTATGGGAAAGGATGTGGTATTGACTCTATCCCATTATACACTGGTAGGCCCTGGGACATTATATGATCCTAACACTGTCCCATCATACTTTGGCAGGTATGGTCAGTGACCAGGTTTATCGCTCTCTCTCTTTCTTGTAGACTGAGGAGTCACTCAGTGAGTGCCGTGTGAGGTTTCTCTCCTTCATGGGTGTTGGAAAAGATGTTCACACATTCGCGTTCATCATGGCGGAGGCTCCTGGCATCTTTATGTGTCACATGTTTTGGTGTGAGCCCAATGCCGCGCATCTGTCAGAGGCCGTGCAGGCAGCATGTATGGTGAGACTGGAAATTGTGACTCTAATACCATGTATCATTTAAAGACCATGTAGATTAAAAACTTTCTTAAACTGAAAATTTGGATTTTTCTGAAGAGGTGTAGAGCAGAAAAGCGCAACGTAGTGTAGAATGGACAGAGTAAATCCGAAGATTTAGTACCCTATATACACTGCGGATACAGAATTTTGGATGATGTAAGGCAGAGTGGCGGGAGTAGATTGGGTAATGTAGGGTAGAGTGGCTGGAGTAGATTGGGTAATGTAGGGTAGAGTGGCTGGAGTAGATTGGGTAATGTAGGGTAGAGTGGCGGGAGTAGATTGGGTAATGTAGGGTAGAGTGGCTGGAGTAGATTGGATAATGTAGGTTAAAGTGGCTGGAGTAGATTCGGTAATGTAGATGTAGCGGAGAGGTAGTATAATCCACAGTATCTCCGCTGGGTAACAGGAACAGCATAAAATAATCCAAGGAAATAAATACAGCATACAATAATCCCGGTAGCGTTATAAGAATCCTTCCTTCCCAAGAACTAGACGACACATAGGCTGGGAGTCAACTGAGGTTTTATTCACAGATCACTGTATTTATGGATTCCCCATTCCAGGGGTGGTACAGTAGGGGACTACATGGGGAACTGAACAACACATACATTTCTCCCACCATGCACTGCTGCACAAGAGGGATACTCCCCCTAGACTATACCGCTTATTATCCCTCCGTGCAGCAGAATTCACATTTTACATTAAAATGCATAACTTTAATAATATTCCCCTGATTTTACACGAATGGATGTTCGGTAGATAGCTGGAGGCTGAGCGCACAGTTCGTGAGAATACCGCCCAGCTCCTAGTCTAACTAACCGAATGCCGCACGAAATAAACATTATTTCTAACACATTGCAAAACTACCGATTGGTATTAGGGGAACAAACTACAGAATGGCCGGGGCTCCCGAATGGCCTGGAAGTCTGGCCTGGAGTAGCCGATTTTAGTTCCAGGTGCTTGACGGCAAAACACTGCTGGGCTAACAAAGGATCCAAGATGGCCGACCGCCACGTGGTCGGTAGTCGAACGGCGGCCACCCAGGGAAGCTTTTAACTACCGATTGCAACAATGTTGCAATCGGTTAATGGGCGCCACACGACCTCTTGTGTGTGGTCGACCATTTGGTCAGTATTGAACCTCACTGTTCGTGAAACTACATTAGGAAAGCTGGGTTTTCCATACTGCAAGCATACGAACGCCCTCATTCGTCTGAAGGACTCATACAGTAATACACTTGGTTCTCATAGCTGAAACAGGGATATACACACATTCAATATGGCTAGTCTTTAAGTGGCTAGTTTTGCCACAGTAGGGTAGAGTGGCTGGAGTAGATTGGATAATGTAGGTTAGAGTGGCTGGACTAGATTGGGTAGTGTAGGGTAGAGTGGCTGGAGTAGATTGGGAATGTTGGGTAGAGTGGCTGGATTAGTTTGGGGAACTTTTAGATTGGGGGCTTAGGGTACAGTAAACGGAGTAGATCAGGTGACAGAGTAGAGGGGACGTAGTAGTTTGGGTGACATTGGATAGAGTAGATCGAAGGATGTTTGATAGAGTAGCTGGAGTAAATCTGGGCATGTAGGGTAGAAAGGATGATGTAGATCAGGTGACATAGAGTAGATTGGGGGAATTATTGGTAGCGTGACAAAAGTAGTTCCGTGACATAGGGCAGGGCTTGACAAATTTGCTTGGAATCTAGGAGCCAGCTAGTAAAGTAAGGAGCCAGAGAAATAAATGCCAAAAATAAAATTCTTAAAGGGACACTATAGTCACCAGAACTACTACAGCTTAATGCAGTTGTTCTGAAGTCTATATGCTGTCCCTGCATGCTTTTCAATGTAAACACTGACTTTTCAGAAAAAAGGCAGTGTTTACATTGCTGCCTGGTGACACCTCTAGCTACAGTCACTTAGACGGCCTCTAGAGGTGCTTCCTGGTTCAGTGCTTCACAATGTGCAGCACCTATGTTAATGCTCCCCATATCTCTGAGTAGTTAAATTGGCGCAGTGGCATTTTGCTGTGCATGTGCAATACTCTCAATGCTTTCCTATGGGGAAGCATTGGATTGGCTGAGATCTTCAAGATTGATGATCTCAGCCATGGAGGTGGGACCAGCCATGGCGTCACCAGCACGAAATGGGAAAAACTCCTTTCCCATGTGGTTTAAGGGAACACATACTCAGACAGGCACACACGCACTCGTAGACTGGGTAACGGGAACGGACACACACATGGACGGACGGGAATGGACACACACACACTCACTTACAAGTAATTACTTTTTTATTTAAAACCACCTAGCCTCCCTACTTTTGGAGAGCTGGAGTGGATAGGCTTTTCATGGGGTCCAGTGGGGCTGCTGTCATCTCCTTACTCAGCTCCCTCTTGCGCACTGTTTAGTGAGCCGGGGGCCGGCGTTACATTATAACCCGGCGTCACGTGAGGGCACGCAAGGGAGCTGTGTAGGGAGATGACAGCTCCTTCCTTCCCTCGCCGCTCTTCAGCTTTCCATAAGATGGGTGCCCGCCTCCCTCCCTCCTTTAGAAATCCATAAGCCGCCCGCCCCCTCCCTAACAGACTCTGCACTACAGGAGACGGCCTCCCTCTGTCACCCCTGCCTGTCTCAGCCCTCTGTGATCCGATTGCCCTCTTTTGCTCTCAGGCAGCCGGTCACCTCGGGGGCTGAACAGGCTTTCAAATCCCAGGTGCCAGGACAAATTTCCTGGTCGCCATGGCGACCTAGCGCCTGGGATTTGTCAAATAGTAGTGAAGAAGATTAGAAAGGACAGAGTAGACCAGGAACACAGAGTGAAGGGAGTAAATCAGGGGATGTAGGGTAGAGTGCACGGAATAGATTGTGGGATGTAGGGTAGAGTGGACGGAATAGATTGTGGGATGTAGGGTAGAGTGGGCGGAATAGATTGTGGGATGTAGGGTAGAGTGGGCGGAATAGATTGTGGGATGTAGGGTAGAGTGGACGGAATAGATTGTGGGATGTAGGGTAGAGTGGACGGAATAGATTGTGGGATGTAGGGTAGAGTGGGCGGAATAGATTGTGGGATGTAGGGTAGAGTGGGCGGAATAGATTGTGGGATGTAGGGTAGAGTGGGCGGAATAGATTGTGGGATGTAGGGTAGAGTGGGCGGAATAGATTGTGGGATGTAGGGTAGAGTGGGCGGAATAGATTGTGGGATGTAGGGTAGAGTGGGCGGAATAGATTGTGGGATGTAGGGTAGAGTGGGCGGAATAGATTGTGGGATGTAGGGTAGAGTGGACGGAATAGATTGTGGGATGTAGGGTAGAGTGGGCGGAATAGATTGTGGGATGTAGGGTAGAGTGGGCGGAATAGATTGTGGGATGTAGGGTAGAGTGGGCGGAATAGATTGTGGGATGTAGGGTAGAGTGGGCGGAATAGATTGTGGGATGTAGGGTAGAGTGGGCGGAATAGATTGTGGGATGTAGGGTAGAGTGGGCGGAATAGATTGTGGGATGTAGGGTAGAGTGGGCGGAATAGATTGTGGGATGTAGGGTAGAGTGGGCGGAATAGATTGTGGGATGTAGGGTAGAGTGGGCGGAATAGATTGTGGGATGTAGGGTAGAGTGGGCGGAATAGATTGTGGGATGTAGGGTAGAGTGGGCGGAATAGATTGTGGGATGTAGGGTAGAGTGGGCGGAATAGATTGTGGGATGTAGGGTAGAGTGGGCGGAATAGATTGTGGGATGTAGGGTAGAGTGGGCGGAATAGATTGTGGGATGTAGGGTAGAGTGGGCGGAATAGATTGTGGGATGTAGGGTAGAGTGGGCGGAATAGATTGTGGGATGTAGGGTAGAGGTGGCGGAATAGATTGTGGGATGTAGGGTAGAGTGGGCGGAGTAGTTCGGGTGATGTAGGTATGAGCTAATGGATATCGAGGGACGTAGGCTAGAGTGGACTGGGTAGATCAGAAACATAGAGTGAAGAGAGTAAATCGAGGGATGTTGGGTAGAGCAGGGTGATGGGTAGAGTATTTATTTAGCTTTTGTGGATATATCTCCAGGTGGGACGCTTAGGGAGTGTTTTATTCTCATTGTTGCTGATCACAGTCAGATTTTGATCCAGAATGATTTAAAGTAAATTAATACAGAGTGGCCATTTTCTACACTTATAGTTGTGTAGGTGGCAGAGTAATGTATTATAGACCCCCATCTAGAGACAGGCACACAGCAGGTGGTGCGGTTCTGCTTGCATACTTGTTTCTTGTCTAGGTTGACATACTTATTTTTGTGTTGCCCACTCTGATGCTGATTATATTGTCCACATCTTCATCATTTTATAACCCCCTTCCCTTTCTGATTTAGTTACTTTCCACCTAATCCTGATTTTGTTGTTTCTAACTTGGTCCTTATCTTCCTGATTTGTTTGCCCCCTACATTTACCCTCCTGATTCTGATTTGCTGGTTTCCTTACTGATTCTGTTGCCTCATAGAATGTGACGGCAGATAAGAACCATTCGGCCCATCTAGTCTGCCCAATTTTCTAAATACTTTCATTAGTCCCTGGCCTTATCTTATAGTTAGGATAGCCTTATGCCTATCCCACGCATGCTTAAACTCCTTTACTGTGTTAACCTCTACCACTTCAGCTGGAAGGCTATTCCATGCATCCACTACCCTCTCAGTAAAGTAATACTTCCTGATATTATTTTTAAACCTTTGTCCCTCTAATTTAAGACTATGTCCTCTTGTTGTGGTAGTTTTTCTTCTTTTAAATATAGTCTCCTCCTTTACTGATTGTGTTGTCTGCCTTACTTCCCTCGTGATTTTTTGGTCCTTTCTTTCCTCTGTGCCCCTAAATAACATTTTTACGGCCAAATAATGTGTTAAAATAAAGCCAGCTGCGATTTTTCATGTTCCCCATGTTCAAAAGCCAGATAGCAAAAACAATCATGAAAAAGGGTTAACATAATCCTGGTCAACAAAAAATAATTTAGAAAGAAAGTTTTATTTATTTTTAATGGCCAGAGAAATATTTTTAAAAAAAAGTAAAGCAAAACTAAAATAAAATTTATGTAAAGTTTCATTTGTTTTTGTTTGTTTTTATTTTATACTTTATTTTCAATCATTTACTGGTGGTAAAGAATCAAACCTATTTTTTCTAGATTTTTGTTTATACAACCTTCCTCCATCCATCGGATTTAGTTTTTATCTCCCAGCCCCTTTTGTTTTTATCTCCCAGCCCCTTTTGATTTTCTTTCTCTTTTCCTCTTTTGATTTTCTTTCTCTTTTCCTCTTTTGATTTTCTTTTTCTTTTCCTCTTTTGATTTTCTTTCTCTGACAGCGCAGTCTTATTGTCTCCCTTTCTCTCCCGTAGCTGCGATACCAGAAGTGTCTGGATGCTCGTCCTCAGGGCTCTTCTTGTCTCCCAACTCCTCCTGCTGACTCTGTTGCTCGCAGAGTGGGCTCCAGTGTCCGCAGGGGTGTTCAGTCTCTACTTGGTTCTTTCAAAACGAAGCGTCCCGGAGGACAGACACCGTGACCCTGCAACTCAGGCTATGACCAGTGTCCTTGTCCCCCCATGTCCTGCGCTTTCCGCCGGCCTCTTCCTCCAGGTTATCACTGCAGACTAAGGAGCAGCACAATTTGTATCAAGTCATGTTTCCCAATGTAATGGCAAAACGCACTCCAGGACTTGGGTTACCATTAGATAACTAGAGGCCTTATGAATAGCAATAAGGCACTGGGCAGCTGTCAGACCCACTCTGCTTCCCTGGCAGCTGCCCCCTCCTTCGGGAGGCTGTTATGTGTAGTTGTGTAGATGGCATTGTCTCTGTGATAGCGCGAGTATGCGTGTGTGATATACACTCTTACTGTACTAATTATATATACTGCTGCTGGTCTCTGCTTTGTACAGCTTAGTCTTAATCTGTATAGCAACTCCTGGGCCTTGACATGGCTTCTACCGTCTGAAGCAGCGCTGGAAGAGGGGCTCTAAACCTCGAGTGCTGGATAGGTTATCTATAATGTTAACATGACAGTGGAATCAGAAACTCCTCCCAGACATTATATAACCTGGAACCAGAAACTCAACCTGGAACCAACTCCTCCCAGACATTATATAACCTGGAATCAGAAACTCCTCCCAGACATTATATAACCTGGAACCAGAAACTCAACCTGGAACCAACTCCTCCCAGACATTATATAACCTGGAACCAACAACTCCTCCCAGACATTATATAACCTGGAACCAACAACTCCTCCCAGACATTATATAACCTGGAACCAGAAACTCCTCTCAGACATTATATAACCTGGAACCAGAAACTCCTCTCAGACATTATATAACCTGGAACCAGAAACTCCTCTCAGACATCATATAACCTGGAACCAGAAACTCCTCTCAGACATCATATAACCTGGAACCAGAAACTCCTCTCAGACATTATATAACCTGGAACCAGAAACTCCTCTCAGACATTATATAACCTGGAACCAGAAACTCCTCTCAGACATTATATAACCTGGAACCAGAAACTCCTCTCAGACATTATATAACCTGGAACCAGAAACTCCTCTCAGACATTATATAACCTGGAACCAGAAACTCCTCTCAGACATTATATAACCTGGAACCAGAAACTCCTCCCAGACATTATAAAACCTGGAATCAGGAACTCCTCCCAGACATTATATAACCTGGAATCAGAAACTCCTCCAAGACATTATATAACCTGAACTCAGACATTATATAACCAGGAATCAGGAACTCCTCCCAGACATTATATAACCTTGAACCAGAAACTCCTCCCAGACATTATATAACCAGGAATCAGGAACTCCTCCCAGACATTATATAACCTGGAACCAGAAACTCCTCCCAGACATTATATAACCTGGAACCAACTCCTCCCAGACATTATATAACCTGGAACTCCTCCCAGTCATTATATAACCTGAACCCAGACATTATATAACCAGGAATCAGGAACTCCTCCCAGACATTATATAACCAGGAATCAGGAACTCCTCCCAGACATTATATAACCTGGAACCAGAAACTCCTCCCAGACATTATATAACCTGGAACCAGAAACTCCTCCCAGACATTATATATCCTGGAACCAGAAACTCCTCCCAGACATTATATATCCTGGAATCAGAAACTCCTCCAAGACATTATAAAACCTGGAATCAGGAACTCCTCCCAGACATTATATAACCTGGAATCAGAAACTCCTCCAAGACATTATATAACCTGAACTCAGACATTTATATAACCAGGAATCAGGAACTCCTCCCAGACATTATATAACCTTGAACCAGAAACTCCTCCCAGACATTATATAACCAGGAATCAGGAACTCCTCCCAGACATTATATAACCTGGAACCAGAAACTCCTCCCAGACATTATATAACCTGGAACCAACTCCTCCCAGACATTATATAACCTGGAACTCCTCCCAGTCATTATATAACCTGAACCCAGACATTATATAACCAGGAATCAGGAACTCCTCCCAGACATTATATAACCAGGAATCAGGAACTCCTCCCAGACATTATATAACCTGGAACCAGAAACTCCTCCCAGACATTATATAACCTGGAACCAGAAACTCCTCCCAGACATTATATAACCTGGAACCAGAAACTCCTCCCAGACATTATATATCCTGGATCCAGGAACTCAACCCAGACATTATATAACCTAGAAAAAGGATAGGGGGCACTCCCAAGACCTGCATTTTGTATGAAAGGTGCTGCCGCAGTGACCAAACTTCATACATAAAACAATAAATAGTTGCAGCGCACTCAGACTACAAAACAATATATAATACAAAGAAGGCTACTAAAATGTCTATCTGAGAATAAATATGGGGATTTAGTTCCACCATATGGCCATATGTTGTTAAGCCCACCACTACTTTCAAAGTACCCCAATATTGGTGGGTCCTACGCTAAAAATGTGGGGGAACAAATTAAATAGTACTAGTGTTGAAAATTACAAGTGTTAAATTAAATCCTGATAAGAGCATAGTGAGTATACAAAAATGAATCCAGACCAGATTCCTTAGGGGTTAAGCACCCCGCCCAGGCCCCCCAACTTCAGAGGCTCCTTTAGAGGTGGCCACAGGTGTGTATATATAGGAGGAGTTTTTCAATAGTCAAGTCACTTTTATTATTTTCTCTAGTCAGCACAGATATCATCTGCATTAGTGAGTATACTCTTTTTAGCACTAACACATTATTTGTTTAGTTTTAACACTGTTTTTAATTGCTTTCATCACTCATTTTTGTATACTCACTATGCTCTTATCAGGATTTAATTTAACACTTGTAATTTTCAACACTAGTACTATTTAATTTGTTCCCCCACATTTTTAGCGTAGGACCCACCAATATTGGGGTACTTTGAAAGTAGTGGTGGGCTTAACAACATATGGCCATATGGTGGAACTAAATCCCCATATTTATTCTCAGATAGGCATTTTAGTAGCCTTCTTTGTATTATATATTGTTTTGTAGTCTGAGTGCGCTGCAACTATTTATTGTATTATATAACCTGGAATCATAAACTCCTCCCAGACACTATATCACCTGGAACCAGGAACCCAACCCAGACATTATATAACCTGGAATCATAAACTCCTCCCAGACACTATATCACCTGGAACCAGGAACCCAACCCAGACATTATATAACCTGGAACCAGAAACTCCTCTCAGACATTATATAACCTGGAACCAACAACTCCTCCCAGACATTATATAACCTGGAACCAGAAACTCCTCTCAGACATTATATAACCTGGAATCATAAACTCCTCCCAGACACATTATTATTATATTTATATAGCGCCAGCAAATTTCTTAGTGCTGTACACCTGGAATCAGAAACTCCTCTTAGACATTATACATGATCAACCTGTAGCTTGCCTTACCCTGGCTGTGCACTCTGCCATTCTCTATATTAAATTACCTGCATGTAGCATGTTTTCACGTGACACCAACATTTCTGCTTAGAAACCAAACCTATTGCAACAAAAACAAATAGTTCTTAAAATGGCTTTATCTTTGCGCGGATCCTCACTGAATTGGACTCTTGGCAGATCAAGCTCCACAAGCTGAAAATGGTCCTGTGGATGGACATGTGCTAGCCATGAGTGACTGCTTCAGGTAAGTGAAACCTACCTCTACCTGCACCTCTGGGCCACCAAACGCCAAGTTGTGATGTCACCATCAAGGGTCTCTGCATAGATCCCAGAAGGTAACAAGAGCCACTTTGAATACAAACCAACATCTCACTCTTAACCTGCTACCCTCTTCCTGCAGAAAATGTCCTTGTTAGAAATTTACACATATCTCATGCCATCTATCACATGTGCCCTTGCTCTATGTTAATATGTGGATGTGACACCTCTCGTGCAGCTGTCTATGGGTTGTATCTGATGCACGTCATTCCAAGGGATCTTTGAAATGTCATCACATAAAATCAGGATTTGCATTCTATAAGAGCGGTTCCTGGTTATAAAGTGGGGTACTGACACTCCTGGCTTAATATATATAAATATGATCCAGGTTTGTGAATGAAGATCTGATTCCAAGAGTGTAATGGTCGGTTGTTAACTGAAATAACTTGTTCTCATTCTCTGTGAATAAACAAATTGCTATGATGGGTCTGGGAGGAGGATTAATAAAGCTTCCAGTGATCCCTGCATTCAGATTTTAACACTAAACACAAATAGTCTATGAAATTGGGGCATTATACTGACACTGTAATATCTTACTTATAATATTTAGTAATCCTGGCTTCTGGGATCTCATCCTGCATTGAAAGGTGTCATTTTGCTGTATGTTTTGTATGAGCATGCAGTAAACTAGGTGAGCATTTTGGTACTCTGGTGGAAGCAGACGTGTGATATCCATTTTATGTGTGATGTATCGCAGTTGTGTGTTTTCTCACTTCTAAGCATGTATTTTGAGTTTGTTCTCTTATATTTAAAGTGCAGGTCTCTACGTGAGTTGTGTGTCTCTTCCTGCAGTATCCGGTATGAGTCTTAGGTGAGACTTTGAGTGCACTTCTAGGACTTCAGAGATCTGTTTTAGACTCCCAGGGCAGCGTGACTGTTGTAGCACATATGCAAACTGTATGTGAGACAATCTGTGTCCTTGGCAGTACTCTGCATTGTGGCGTGAGAGGATGTTTGTTGGCTCAGTTTGTTCTAAAGCAGGTGAGTGTGTTTTGTACTGCTTCTACATTGTGTATGTTCTAGAGCAGGATAAGTACTATTTATGTGATTAGTAGCTTTCTTGACCTGGATGAGTACTGTTGGTGGTTATGTACTAATCATTGAATTGTGGAGATTTGACTAGGGAAATTCACATTTTACTCAATTTGATAGAAAAATTTAAGATTTAGGATTTTCTTTTTTCTTGGAGTAAGATGTTGCTATTGACTTCTCATTTTTCCGTGGTTCTAAGTTTACAAAACCCATGTGTATGTCTGAATGTGGTGCAAATACGGAACTTAAGGTTATCCACTCTGGTTCCTTTTAATTGTTCTTGAGCAGGAAGAGTAATGTGTGAGTGTGGCATAGCTTTGCTAAAGTCTTTGTTCTAGAATGGAATGAGTACTATAGAAGATGTAAAATTCTAGAGCAGGATGGATACTGTATGTGGGGTATAACTGGAACAGTAAACACTATATGAAGTTCTCTGGGTGTTGGAGCATCCCAGGTGAACTGTGTATTGTAATCAATCTACTTCAATAAAATGTTAACTGATAAACAAAGCCACCGTGTCTGTCTTTTCTCTTATAAAACATCAAATAGAACTGTGAATTAACATTAAACATTGTCAGCCATTGTCTGTTTCCTGTGTAACGTCTTAGATGTAATTTATACAGACAAAGTGTGTGTACTCTAAGCATGTCCTCCTCTTTCCATTCAGGAATATGTCTCTCAGCATGTCCTCCTCTTTCCATGCAGGAATATGTCTCTCAGCATGTCCTCCTCTTTCCGTTCAGGAATATGTCTCTCAGCGTGTCCTCCTCTTCCCATGCAGGAATATGTCTCTCAGCATGTCCTCCTCTTTCCATTCAGGAATATGTCTCTCAGCATGTCCTCCTCTTTCCGTTCAGGAATATGTCTCTCAGCATGTCCTCCTCTTTCCATTCCGGAATATGTCTCTCAGCATGTCCTCCTCTATCCATTCAGGAATATGTCTCTCAGCATGTCCTCCTCTTTCCATTCAGGAATATGTCTCTCAGCATGTCCTCCTCTTTCCATTCAGGAATATGTCTCTCAGCATGTCCTCCTCTTTCCATTCAGGAATATGTCTCTCAGCATGTCCTCCTCTTTCCATTCCGGAATATGTCTCTCAGCATGTCCTCTTTCCGTTCAGGAATATGTCTCTCAGCATGTCCTCCTCTATCCATTCAGGAATATGTCTCTCAGCATGTCCTCCTCTTTCCATTCAGGAATATGTCTCTCAGCATGTCCTCCTCTATCCATTCAGGAATATGTCTCTCAGCATGTCCTCCTCTATCCATTCAGGAATATGTCTCTCAGCATGTCCTCCTCTTTCCATTCCGGAATATGTCTCTCAGCATGTCCTCCTCTATCCATTCCGGAATATGTCTCTCAGCATGTCCTCCTCTTCCCATGCAGGAATAGGCCCCTCAGCCTGTTCTCCTGCTTCCAGGCAGGAATAGGCCCCTCAGCCTGTTCTCCTGCTTCCAGGCAGGGATAGCTCCTGTGACGGTCTGCCAATTTATCACCGTCACGGATATCCCTTGTAACGGATCACCTGGCACCCCGACTGGGTACCTCCATTGAAGGATTCTCCTAGCACTTCCTGTGGACTCCAAGCACTGCAGCAGACACCACAACCACCGAACCGGAGAAGCATACGAATGCTCTCAAGCATATGAATGCTTTAAGCAGCTGAACAGGAAAAGCATACAATTAGCTTACACTCCTGGCAATCAGCATACATTTCAATTCCCCCAATAATGAGACGACACTTCGTTTTGAGGTCAAGCAGAACTGTCTGTACTGGCACATACAGCCTCTTTTATTCATAATCCACAAACATAGTACTGCCCACAGGATTTTGAAATACAACCAATCAATCCGTACAATACACACAGACACTCCCACACAAAATCCTCCCCTCTGCCTGTGATATGATTACGGAACACAATTGTTAATATAATTATCACAGGCCGAGAAATACAGTATTATAAAACATATCACAGGGACCCCCAAAACATGCAATAACCCCATAAAAAGTATATCCTCGAACCGGGGGATCTGTTCAGTAGTTTGGAAGATACAGTTTAATGCAGATTCCGCAGAACATCTCCAGTTTTGTCACAGGGCACAAATAGTGTTTTCAAATGCCATATATCGCAGGGCCATAGTCAGAAGCAGCCCCCTCCAAGAACACATGGCGAGATCTGTTCCGCCAAAACAATATTGAATTTATACCAGAAACAATGGGGCGACCAGGGGGATTGTTAGGGTTCTTATGCATTTTGGGTAAGAAATATGACAGGTATAGTAGGGAATGGTATGTTGAGTATTCTGAATTATTTTGAATGTTATTTTCTTTTCCTTTATTAGTGAGGAGCAGTAGGTCTTTTTTTAATTTTTTGGGATGGTATCGTAGGAGAGTTTTTCGTAGACAGAGTTGTCGTTTAATTGTTTGTATGCCTCTTCCATATAGTTTTCTTTGGACATGATGACCAGTCTAACCCTCTTCTTGGCTGATTTGATCACTATGCTGTTGTCACTCTTTGTCGTTTAAGATCTTTCTTTTTATTCTTGTTAAATAGTTTTTATCTATTTTTTTGGAGGGGTTTTATTTTATTTAAATCTCAAAGTACTAGATTTAAATAAACTTTCTTCCACACAACCAGCTGTTTTGAGCAAGGGTCTCAAATATACCCCAACACGAACCTTTAACCAATTTACCGCATACATAGATGTCAATAAATTTGTAAGACAAGCAACAACAAAAAGATTCTACACCAGCAATAAAACAGCTAATAAAAATAAATAAAAATTAGCTCTGCTTAGGCCGCCTATTTTAGGCCCCCTCTCAGAGTAGAGCAAGCAGTGCTATCCTTAGATAAGGCTGTTTGGTCTTTCAGGGTTTTGCTAAATTATGTTGTTGTCTCCGAAGTTGATATCAGATTACATGCATGATCAGAACTGTGGCTTCCAGTTGAGGAAAAAGAGAGAAGAGCACTACCAAAAAAGTATATAGTTTAAAATTTAACTTTTAATAGTGAACGGAATACAAAGTGATCATTTCACATATAGAGTCATATTTGGTCTAGATATATGTATATCAAGACCCAAAAAGATCATATGAGAAAGTATAAGATTTAAAAACCCAAAAAGGACAGTGTCTAAATGTCAGGAATATAAATGACAGTTGGGGATAAATAGATAGAAACTGTCTGCTATGATGGTACTATTGCAATGTATCTAGTGTGTTTTATAGTTAGTCAGACTTTGCAACCAAACAGAAAGCGTCTGCTGCTGTAGTTCAATGTGTCCAAAGTATAATTCGGGATTATTCTAACTCCTAGTGACCGAATAATCTAAATTTTATTAAAGACAGGAGGCGAATATTTGCTTATCTTTCTTTACTGTAACTCCCAGCAGCAAAGAAACAGTTAACAGCAGTGTAAAAAGTTTAACCAATCAGTAAGCATTACAGTAGTATAAACTGTCATCAGGCTCCTCCCAATTCCTCTTTCTTGATGTAGCCGAACAGTCGTAGAGTCAACCATGTAAATGTAGAAACCTTAAAACGATGAACAGGTAACGGTGTAGGTATCCGGTAGGATGAAGGTAGTGATCAACCCGCGGGTAGATTCGAGACAGAAGGCAAACGATCTTCACACTAGGAGGAAGGAGAAACATCGTGAAAGTATGGTCTCTTTGGCAAGAGAAAAAACCAAATTAAATGCAGTGAACTGATTTTCAATTTAAGCGCAAGCTGTAACTATGATAATTAACTGTGTGATATGTAGAGTAAGTGACATACCTAGAATATAATAACCAATGTACCATTGAAAAAGGGTTTAGTATATAATAGCGACCTAAAAGAGAAAAGAGAGGATGCTAGTCATAGTAGAACTGAAGATAGTACAGGATACTTACCTAAAAGGGTGGGTAAAAAGAAATCCAGGGTGGGAAAATATTCGCCTCCTGTCTTTAATAAAATTTAGATTATTCGGTCACTAGGAGTTAGAATAATCCCGAATTTTATGGCAAGACAGGAGGCTTCATATTTGCTATTTTAACGCACAGATAGCAAAGACAGAGAAACGTGTGGAGAGTGTCTGAAATAAAAGGTACGGAAGGTGGATTCTCTAGACCAATCAGCGGAGGCTAGAATTTCCGCTAAGGAACCTCCGGCTATGAGTGCTGAGGCGGCTGCGCCTCTAACCGAGTGAGCCCCGAAAGAAGCATCAATGCCAGCCAGGGCTAGAAGCCATTTAATCCAACGTGCAATGGTAGGGCACGAGACTGGTTTGTGAGGTCGTACATAAGACACCAGGAGGGGCCCAGTAGGTGGTCTGAGAGGGGTAGTGCGGGCAATATAGTGTTGTATACACCGGGCTACGCAGAGGAGAGGTTTCTCCGAAAAGTAAGGATAGCTCACAGTAGACGAGTTGGTCTTGGTGCGTCTAGTGATATTGAAGTGTACCCCCTCCGGTGTGAAATCGAGGGCATGAAAGTCGAAAGCCCTGATGTCGGAAACTCTTCGGAAGGAGACCAAGCAAAGGAGGAGAGCTAGTTTGGCTGATAATTGGCGTAGGGAGAGCGCCTCGTTGTCCGGCCAAGCTTCCAAGAACGTGAGCATGATGGCCACGTCCCAGAATTGATTATATTTGGGGTTCGGGGGTCTAGCGATGCGTATGCCCCGCAAAAGTCTACAGATGGAAGGATGTTTGCCTACTGAAGAACTTTCGATAGGAACGTGTGCTGCAGAAATAGCAGACCGAAACACGTTAATGGTCCGGTAGGATTTACCCTGGTCATACAGAGACGAAAGGAAATTGATAATATTAATTATAGATGTTGAAAAGGGATCAAGGTCCCTTTCCAGGCACCAGCAACTCCATAGGCGCCATGCAGAGATGTAAGCGCGTCTAGTTCCCGGGGCCCATGAGTCCCAAAGGAGTCCCTGAGCAGTTGTCGAAAGGCCTGAGACATTCCAAGATCCCCTGAAACGGTCCAAGCCACTAGTTGGAGATGATCCTGAATTGCTAATGGGTGAAAGTTGCCTGTCGGGTCTCTGAGGAGGTCGCAGGTGCTGGGTAGCAGCAGGGGAAAATCCACTGACATTTCCAGGAGGTAAGGATACCATGGTTGGGCCCGCCATAACGGGGTCACTAGTGTTATCCTGGCACCCTGAGTTCTGAGGTGCTGTAGTGTGCGTGGAATCATGGAGAAAGGAGGGAATGCATATGCCCCGGACATCGGCCACGTCTGTAGGAAGGCATCGAC